AGGAACGCTGAGTGGGTGTGGTTGAACGCTCTCCAGCCCTTCCTCCAATGACGACGGCAACAACCGATCATGGATCGCGCCTTGCGACCGTCTTCCGCTCAAATCTGGTTTTTTGGTGCGATGGGATGTGCATGTCGTTTTCCGTCGCGTGCGGTGCCGTGGCGGGTTGAATGAGCAGTGTATGCACCTTTCCGTGATTCATTCTGGCGCAGTTTGGTTTGGGGGGGGAGCACCAAATGGTGCGGGGCTTCTGCAAGCCACTTTGTGAAGACCTTGTACGACGTTCCTGTAATTAAATTAGGCTACTTGTATCATTTCGTTGTTTCCCAAGGTTTCACAGGTGTTAACTTGTTAGTCGACATGTACATGCAAAAGAAACTAGCGAAAGTGCAAAATGCCCCCTTTAAGTCGAACAGGGCCATTTATTTCTGTGGAAGTTCCTTCTGGTCAGTCCTTTGAGCTGACGCAGGCCGCTGCGCATTATTACGCCCCATTAGCCCGCCAACTGAATTCCATCCTATAAAAGCATATCAAATGGTGGGCACATCTAGCTATCGCCCCATTGAACGTGCTCAAATTGCGAACAGTTTTTGTGTGCATGCAAGTGCTTGCACTTGCCATTCGCCATTCGATAATGAGATTTCGAATTAGACTTTTTAGGGAAAGTTGGAAAGCTGCCAAAGCCTTATAAAGACTCATTAGAAGGAATGAGCTTCTGCACGCGAAATACGCTAAGCCTTAGGAGTACTATTCTCTAAATATTAGCTCTATATGTCGACGTCGGCAGGTATTAGAGATCGCGCTCTAGACTGTTGGGTGGGCGGGACTGGGAAACGATGTCATTGGTGCGCCCTTCTTCTCCCGTATTCTTCACCACCAGAGAGGAGAAAGAGGGGAGGGGCCGCGTTCCGTTTTCAGTGCGATCATGGGATGTGCATGTGGTTTCGTTCGCGGTGCGGTTGGCGTTGAAGGACACCTTTCCGTTGATTTAGTCTGCGCAGTTCGGCTTGGCGGCGGCACCAATAGTGCGAGGCCAGCAAGCCTACTTTGTGAACACTGTGTAACGTTCGTGTAATTTAAATTAGTCCTACTTGTATCTCACGTTTCAAGGATTTGAGTATGTTTAGCTTGTTATCGAGATGTACAAGCAAAAGAAGCTAGCAAGAGTGCAAGATGCCCCTTCAATTCGAAGAGCGGCCATTTATGCTTCTGTTGTGAAGTTCCTTCTGGTCAGTCCTTTGAGCTGACGCAGGCCGCTGCGCATTATTACGCCCCATTAGCCCGCCAACTGAATTCCATCCTATAAAAGCATATCAAATGGTGGGCACATCTAGCTATCGCCCCATTGAACGTGCTCAAATTGCGAACAGTTTTTGTGTGCATGCAAGTGCTTGCACTTGCCATTCGCCATTCGATAATGAGATTTCGAATTAGAGTTTTTTAGGAAAAGTTGGAAAGCTGCCAAAGCCTATAAAGGACTCATTAGAAGGAATGAGCTTTTGCACGCGAAACACGCTAAACCTTAGGAATACTATGCTCTGAATATTAGCGCTATATG